TTGCCTCCTGTCTTAGACAGCATTAGTGAATATATTAGTATTTTCAGTTTTCAATATTAATAACATTAATACTGGGTTGAACTTGTCCTTACATGCAGCATAACATTAATATTGAAATAACTCACCAAAATTTGCCTTAAAACCTCAACAATATTTCAGATCCCAGCTCCCAGATGGTTTCAGCGTCTGGATCTCCATCCTTATCTCTTTGATTAAATCATTCACTTTAAAATCCTTCACCATTCTCAACCAGATAATAAAGTACAGGAAAAGGTGGTTGTAAGCTTCATGAATATTTATTTTTTCAGCAATGGAGGAGCAAGTTTACCTAACAGCTTTTCTAACTGATTGTCTGCAGAACAAGGAAGTTATGGCCACATTAACGCAAGCAGTAGTAGTTTATTGTTTTAGTAGACACTTCTTTTTCCTTCCTTTTGAATAAATACACCGCAGGGCCTGGGAGGACGTGTGCCAAGAGCATTACTGAGCGCAGCAACAGCCGAACAAAGCGCAATCCTAATCATAACAGAGCGAGCAAGTATTGTTACAAATGTTCTCTTTAGTATGGAAATGAGCCAGGGGTAATAAAAACACCATAAAAACGTCAAAATGACCGATCACCACGAAGCGCTGGCCTTTTTATAACCAAAACTTGCAATGAACTTAAAAAATTCCTGTGTTAAGAGAAATGCCATTTTTACTTAACATTATTGTTAGACTTATCCTCAGTTGGCTGCACAGTTAAACGACTGTAGAAGAGAATAACTTCAGAAGGGCATCAGTAAAGACAAGACCTGATTGATATTAAATGCCATTAGAGCACGATGGTGGACTCTGGATGGAAACAAACTGTTAATCAGGGCATTAGCATTAACACTGCTACTGCCTCTTTATGAGAATATGGGGCATATTTAGGTACTAATTGTTTGAACAGCATCAATAAAACATTATGCTTAATAGGATACAAATGAAGAGCTGTGTAACTTGTGTAATTCTATCAGAAAACGCTCAGGAATAGCAGCTTGACTTTAATTACTCAGATCAAAAGAAAAAAGGCATTTTGAAGTCTGGTCTAAAGTGTTATTTATTACTCCTTTCACTAGAGCATAGACCAGCTTGGATAGAAATAGCACTTTGGACTGGATGTGGTTAGTGAAAATGGGAAACAAAGAGTATTCATTGCTTTGCTGATGTCCATGTATATTGGAGGATATGTTAAATCCTAATTACAGCAGACTGGCAGAAAGGAAAAGAGGAAAGAAAGAAAAAGTGTATGAGCTAAAATAAGGACAAATAAAGGTCACAACTCTGTGTATTGCCCTCAGAGACCTGAAGCTGGTAAACAAAGTGCCTTGAAACAAAAATTTAAAATAGGTACCCTCTTTCCTCTGTGCTCTACTCTATACATGGACAAAATATATGTGTTACTTAACAGTCAATATAGCACCAGCATTTTAAATGTGGTTTTATCAGCCATTACTTCCTATTTTTGACTACAATAATTCACACTTTTGGTGCTGGGATTTGTTGGGAGTTTTTTTTACATTTGTAGTAAACTTTTAAAAGATGAGACTCTTGGGCAAGAAATGCTTTCTGGTAAGATAAGGTGAAGGGAAAGTCTGCAACAACTACAGTCTCCTAATTATTAGCACTTTCTGCTAGGTCCAGAATACAGAACTTATCTGGCAGGTGGCCTGGAAGCATCCCAGCACATTTGGATCAGAGTATCACAGAATGGTTTGGGTTGAAAGGGACCTTTAAAGGTCATCTAGTCTCATTCCCTGCAATGAGGAGGGACATCAACTACATCAGGTTGCTTAGAGACCCATCCAACCTGGCCTTGAAAGTTTCCAGGGATGGGGCATCCACCACCTCTCTGGGCAACCTGTGCCAGGTTTCACCAACCCTCATTGTAAAAGAATTTTTCCCTTATATCTATCCTGAGATTTAAAGATTTAAAGGGTAATAAGTAACTGGAGGATGTTCAGAGGATATGCTTGATCAGTGGTCTTATGTAATTTAACTCACTGGTTTGGTTTTGTGTCTTGGTGCCCTCTGTGGTTACGGGATCATCAAAGTTGGAAGAGACCTTCAGGATCACCTGGTCCAACTGTCAACCCAGCACCACCATAATCACTTCTAAACCATATCCCCAAGTGCCACATCAAGACAATTCTTTAACCTTTCCAGAGACGATTACTCCACCACCTCCCTGGGCAACTTATTCCAATGCCTGACCGCTCTTTCACTGAAATTTTTTTTTTTCCAAAGATCTAGTCTGAACTGGCACAGTTTAAGGCAATTTCCTCTCATCCTTTCACTAGAGACCGATCCCCTCTAACTACAACCTCCTTTCAGGTAGTTGTAGAGAGCAATGAGGTCCCCCCGAGCCTCCTCTTCTCCAGACTAAACAACCCCATTCCCTCAGCCGTTCCTCACAGGACATGTAGAATAACAGACCCTGATCCATCCCAGCACATTTGAATTACAGACCCTAACCCTGGCCAGTGTCTTCATGCCTCATCTCTTCCTCTGTGAAATCACTGCTGAGATCCACCCCCTAAATTTTGGTGGTTTTGTGACTATGCCCCTCCCACCCTCACCACACCCATCAATCCACAGGCAGAGAAAGGCACATGACTGTGGGCTGTCACCCACTGGGATCCCACGGACATAGGAAACCTGCAGGGTCACTTTGGCCAACCTGTACAACCCCACATACAACCCCTCACGTCTGGTTGTGAGGAGGGGCCTGTGTCCACCCCCAAGGGAGGGCAGTGGCAGGATCCTGGCTGGCTCCCACACATGGCAAAAGGGGAATAGAAGATACTTACACCAATAATGAGTTTGTGCAACTGAGCAGGTCATTACCTTCAAATTCCCATGTAAATCTTCCACGGCACTAACTGCAGCCACTGCAGTGAGATTTTCTGCTGTGCTGATCGTGTAAAGGAGGGGTGTGAGCACACACGGGGCTGCACTGCTGTTTATACAGAGTGGCAGTAAGTTTTTATGCAGAGCCCCAGTTTATATAAATTATGCCACTACTGCAACAATAAGCTGGGAAGTGCTGAGATCATATAGCTTTGTGGCAAGTGGGTGTGCAGCCTGAGTGAGGCAGCCATGTGCCCAACGGTGCCCTGAGGTCTGTGGTGCAGCTATGGCCCTCGCCAGGAGCAAGGACACTCTCTTGTGCATCTCAACTGCATTTCTTTAGGGCCAGAAGGGCCCACCAGATGACCTCATCTGGGCTAGAGGTATCCCTTCATGCTAATCGCATTCCCAAAATCTTCCATTCAACCAAACACACTGTCCACAAAGCACCCAGCCTTGTTTTGAAGATTTTTCAGAGATGCATTGTCTACCTCTTCCTTTGACAACTCCTTCCAGTATATGTGCATTTCCCATTTATATGTGTCTGGCTTCACACTCAGGCCATTAACTCCTGTCACATCTTTCTCTGCCAATGAGCCAGCCAGCACAAATATGTAAAAACCTTACAATGACTTCATATGTCCCCTTGATTTCCCAGCGGACATTGCCGGGATTTTTTCCCACTGGCATCTGCACGGGTTGGAATAAGCTCTGTATGGGGAATAATTCAATGACCTTAGGAGTCTTTCCAACCTAAATGGTTCCATGTTAATCATTGACTTTGGGTGATCTGGAGTCCTGGGCATGCTCAATATACCTCATGTAGGCAGAGGTGTTGCCCAGACAGGAAAGCCATGATAAATTCCCTATTAATCTTTGATCACCTCCTAGGTTTAGCTCACTGATACATCTTCCCCAGATCTTTATTCCAGTATTTCAAAAATCTCAAGAGTTTCAGACAGCCACAGAAATGGAGTCAACAGAGAAATATTTCCTCTTTCCAGCCCCAAGTGTGCAATTTCTGTCACAGGGCTCTTTGGGTCAGAGGTCCAGGTCAGGTCAAGATGAAGTTTGTGTGAGGGCCAGCTTTTCTGAACTTCAGAGGTCACAGCTTCGATATTTGCTGTCTCTGGAGTGAGTGGTGAGACATTCCCAGGTTTGCCTCAAAACGGGGGGAAGGTGCTGGGCTTGACCTTGAAATTGCTGCACCATTCCTGGTACCCCAAAATTTCATCTTTCCAATTGTGTGTTGGCTCCTGGTGCAGCTACGGCATTTGGCTCTAAAAGTGAAGAGATCAAAAGCTGCCCCTTTTCACTAAAAACCAGAAACCTTTTCCAAACCACTTAAAAAAGTGATACCTCTGCTAGTTTCACAGAACCTACACAAAATATCAGACCAAGCTGTGGTATCAAGGTAATTTTGTCATACTGTCTGCTTTGCCCTGTCAGCATGAATTCGTGATGTGTGCTATCCCAGACACACACACACACACACACACAGTCACACACTCACAAGCACATGGAGATGTCCTTTCCTTCCAAACACAGCAGGTTTGCAGAACTCTAAGATCTATTAACACAATTTCTGGCCTTTTATTCCGTTTCTTCTGTAACTTTTATTACAAAGCCACAGATGCTGACATGCTGTGCCATTCTGCCTCCTTTTGATGTGTTCAGTTACTATATTTGTCCCCAACTGAAAATCACAGAACACTTTAACACTTTTTATTTTCAATGTCTGATAAGTTTTCAGTTTGAAAGGGACCGACCATAGAAAGATTGTCCATACAAAGTTTAAAAAAGCCACACACAAACTGGCAGGTAAGGCCATGTTTGATCTCTAATGCAAATAAAATTATACAAAGATAGTGAGTTTTAAGCCTAAAATTCCTTTGATCTTTGAAGCTCCATGGGTTTAAAAGTACAACTGCCTCCTGTATCACAGCCTGGCATGTACATCTATATGCCTATATGTTTATGTATACAAATACATGAAATAAAAAACTTTCATGTTCAAAATAGGGTCAGTTACTAATGGCAAGACTATGGTTTTCTTTAAACACCCTCTTATTCAGGAATGAAGAAGCATCTAAATCTTTTTCCACTGAAAAAAAAATAAATTCATACACAAGCACAACCTGGTTGAATTTATTTAAACTAAGGAAGACTTTGCAATATATGCAAGGCACAATCAAGCCCTAAAAATCAATGGCATGCAGTAGGGCATGGGACAGCATGACTTGAAAGAGCCCTTACAGGTACCTTGTGGAGGCAAAATAATTCCTTAAAAACATGAACCCCTCCCAGGCACAGCAAGCCAGCAAAAGGCCCAGACAATACCTACAGCCCCTCTTAAACAGGGCATATGATGCTGTTTTCCTGGGGGGGGGGAATCTCCCACCAGTTTTGGTGCGCAACAGGAGATGCTCGTGAGGGAGCAGATATCCGAGGCAGGATGAAATCCCCATGCTTTCTGCAAATCAAGACCTTCACAGCATCTCCCATGGCACGTCCAAAACCACATCTGCCTTCTTGGTGCCACAGTTGGGAGCTGCAGCTGTGCTGGGCTGATACTTCAGGCACACTGGGTAGTTCACTGCAGCTTTGCCTTTGGAGAACTCTGCCAGCATCACTGGAGATTTATCTCTAGTGCAGGAGCTCTAAAGGGCAGGAAGAAGCCACTCCTTCAACTTCCAGTTTTTGAGTGCATGATAAAACACTACAGAGCTGGATCACAAAGGCCAGAAGGCACTGGTGGAGAGTGCTGCACACAGCCTGGAAGGGCTGTATGGGAAATGCAGGATTGCTTCTTTTAACCCACTGACCCTCTCTCTGAGGGTCAGAGATATAGCTGCCATTTGAAAAAGTGCTGTAAGATAATCTCTCAGGGTTTGCTCAGCTGAACCATACAAGCCCAGTGTTCACCTCCACCTCTGAAGCTGGAATCAGCACCACTAACACTGCATGTGTTAGAAGTGTCCTCTTGCTGCAGCACTGGCCTACAGAGCAGAGAAGGGCCATGGCCTTACAGGGGAATCCTGCCCTTTCCAATGCCTCTAATGTTGCTGGAATGTGCAGTAGCTTGGGATGTACCATGGTGCAGTAAGGAGCTTCCCACAGGTATGAGATATGAGATGCAGCCCTTAGTATCTCTCATACACGTATGGTCTTCTTGAAATAAAGGTGATGCACTTAGTGTACAAAGTGCACTTTTAATGAAATTACTCAGTATACTACAGCCATAAAAACTCCTGACTAAATCATGCCTTATACCCAAACAGAGTCCTCAGTCCCCAAATTTAAGTTTCCCTGAAGCTGAGAGGATGCACATGAAGGTACCCTTATACTGAATTTAGCTTCTAGGGACCTCATCAATTTGTGTTAACGAAGTTTAACTGGACCCTCCTGCTGAAAAAGAAACAATGGTTAGCAATGGGTTGCTTTATTACAACCTCTGTAGGAAGACCACTGTGAGGAATGGTCTTTCTGTAGGGGTTATTACATGGATATCCCATGACTAAGGCAAAGGGACCTTTTGAAAGCAGCATGTATTGATGAAGGAAAGCAGGAGCTGATGTATTTCAGTGAATCGGGGCCCCATCTCACAGCACTGCGGCTGAGCAAACAGGGAACTGTTTGGTTTGCTGGTGATTCAAACAAACCACCAGAAAAATCACTGCAGGTCAACACAGAGCAAATACCTTCAGAAATGTTCAGAGAAAAGCAAAGCCTAAAGCACTGCTTTGTTTCAGATTCAATAAAGTGTTTCACTTTTAAACGGAGCAGCTGGTTTGGTGGGGATCTCTTTCACAGAACAAGCTTGAGAAGGAAGTAATTTCAAACTTAAAAACTGTCATATTTCAATTTTTCAGTGTGGTTTTTTTTTACCAGCAAATTTTAAATGAAACTCAAGAGAAGAGCAAACAGTTTCAGCATTGCTGAAGCTACCTTCTCTAAAGAAAATTTTGGCCGCTGAGGAGTTGGGTGCCTCTTGTTGGTGTGCAAAAGCAGCTGCACTTACAAATTATTGTTTCACCTACGTTTCATATTTCCCTTTCCAGGCACCCTGAGGCAAAAGTTCCTTCTACAGCCTAACAAATTGTTATGTTTTGATATGCAAAATTTCCTTTCAAAATGACGACCCACTGCAGATTTGTGCTTAAAAACCTAATGAAACCTCCTCCCCAACCCCCTCAAAATGCATAGTGTGAGCACAGAGCTCTGCTACTGAAGATGAACGGGGTCCATGAGAAGTGACTTGGCCACTGCAGACCCTCCCAGTCAGAATATAAGCAGTGAAAAAGGTGAGTTTCTGATGGAAAGGCTGGCACCAACAGTACCTGAGGTGATAGGAGATTACACATAGTTAGTGTACAAAGGTATAGAGACAGGTGACCACCAGGTTAGGAGAAGTACAGCTGGTCACAAGCTACATCGAGCATACTCTGAGCATGGCATCTACAGAACCTGAAAAAAAAAAATCTTTATTTTCTTTGATCAAAAATACGTATAGAAATGCCTGTTTCAAGGAAAATATCATACACTTTTTTTCTTGTTTAACAAAATAAATTAAATATACATGACTTCTGTTTAAACTCTATATAGAATTACAAAGGTTTTATATTTTGCAATTGGATTCACTCCCAGTCCATATAGGTATTCAATATGGTCCTTATTTATTTTCTCTTCTTTCTGTTTTTACTGTTGAACTGCAATGAAGTTTTATCATTTCCAAAATGATATCTGAGGGGAGGGGACAACCACACACAACCTAGGTGAGTATTTCTCAAATGCATTTTTTCCTACAAGATTATTATTTCATTCTCTTTGTTTCTTACACTTTCTTCTAACGCTTTCATGTATTTTGCATTGATGTAGAAAATCCAGTAGCTTGTCACCGTAAGCCATCAGAGAAGGACAGTGTGTTTTGCTTTCTTCACCATCAGCAGTTCAATTATTATTATTATTATTTATTATTATTTCTTAAATATAAATATAAAGGTGTTCTGTACAATGTTCCTCATTCCTTCTCTCCTTTTTCCTGGCAGTGGCACTGAGTCCTGGGACCAGAGGAGGGGAGCTCTTGTGGACTGATCTGCAGAACATCCCATGGGAAACAGGATGTCTTCACCTTGCAGAAATCAAACCAACCAGCTTGGTTAGCTGGTTGTGCTGACCGTGATTGAGAAGTATTCACCATTTCACCTTGTGAATGGAAATTAGTTTTTCCAGACCCTCTTGTGTTATTTTTTCCCCTCAACGAGATGAATTGGTTATGTCTCCTGGTGCTTTGGCACTAAACCTCAAGTACTTTAGTGCTTGAGTCACTCAGAGCAGGACAGGTCTGGGGGCTTTTCCCCAAAACAAGTGATGTGCAGTTGGCACAAGAACAGCAGTGCCCATCCAGAAAAGTACCACACACACCTCTCGCTCTACTTGCTCCTCTTAGTAACACAAGGAAGGAGGTGGTGGTTCACATCCCTGTGTCCTGCCTCACTTGTTGCCACCTTGATTAAAATATCCAGGAAGGCTTTGCTGTTGGAGATGGCTGCCTCTCTGCTGTGATTTGGAGATCCTTCATTATTCCTCGGCTACATCCTGATTGCAATAATTAAAAAAAAAAAAAAAATCTCTTTTCTCTCTCTGTCTTTCTCTATTATATATATATTTATATAGATAGATATAGATATATACACATATATATATACACACATACACACACGCATATACAATTATATATATGTATATATATATATATTTAAAATTATATATAAAATCTTTTCTGTCTGCTTTGCCTGTTGCTGGCAGTGAGAGCTGACTTGGAGCAGTCTCTTCTGAGGTACCACGAAGAAAAGCCCAAAAACGAGCTACTGTACAGGGCCAGCTCTTAGCACTGGTACTGAATGTGCTGGTGCTGGTGGACTTTGCCTTCCACGTGCGAGTGGGTGTGGGTGTGGATGTCCGTGTAAATCTTTGGGTACATTTTGGACGCCATGGCTGGGGCGAGCGCAGGCCCTTGGGACAGCAAGTGCTGCTGCTGGGCCACGTATTCCTCATAGTTTATGGAGGAGATGCAGTCTTTGTCCGGGACCTGGGAGACGCAGATCCTGTCCCGGGGCTGTGGCCGGTGCGCGGGGGCAGCAGCTGGAGGGGAGCAGGGTTTCTTCTTGGACTGGCAAAGCCACAGGAGGATCGTCCCGAAGATGAAGACAGCTCCGGCGGGGATGCCGATGATCACGGGCCAGGGCAGGCTGCTGGCCGAGGAAGGGGGCACAGGTGCACTCGGAGGCTTGGGATCTGGACATTACGGCAGGAGAGAGACAGAAAGAGTTAATTAAATGCAGGCAAAGCGGATTCAAAACAGATGTCACGCTCGGGCTGGCTGTTGTACAGGCTGTCTGGCAGCCCTGCCAGACCAAGTAACGAGGGAGAAATCAAGCCAGCACATGATGTTTGGTAACTGCTTTGCTTTTCAGTGCTCCTGGAAGGACAAGCAACTCATTTTCTCTGGTTTAGGGGTCAGGAGGGGAGTCTTTGGAGGATTTTTTAACTTTCTTATCCAAGCTTTAATGGACGCACCAGAGCCAGCCCGAGACAGTTTCCTAACACTCTCGCTCTGCGATGGAGTGAGCTTTGCTGCCCGGATTGGAGGACACAACACGAGACACGTCAGTAATGCCTCCATGTCAGCAGCCCAGGAGGCATGATGGAGTTGTGCAGAGACACAGCACAGCGCCCACCTGCCTCTGCCAGGTGTAGCTCTGTCTGCTGGGCTTGAGACACTCTTTAGTGACCCCGTCCAGCAATACTGGAGCTACTCAGCAATGCTCTGCCGTGGCAGGGAGCACAGATGTTGGGTTTCAGAGGTGTTTTCTTGAGTTTCTTGTGTGGCTGGAAGGAAGGCTGAAGGATGTGTAAAACATAGGTGAGCAGGTGTCCCCTCACTGGTGCCCAAGCCATGGAGAACTGAAAGTTCACACAGCATTAAAGTGTATCCACAGCTCCCTACACCAAATGGGCACTACCTCCACCAGTCTGTTTGGAGCTGCTGTTGGCTTTTCAAAGGCAGTCAATTCAGCTACTGTGGAGGAGACAAGATGCTTCAGACATCATCTTTCTCACCTCAGGGATGTACAGGCTGCCAACAGCCTGTACATCCCTGAGTAGCCACTCTGGTTTCTCAGCCTGATCTCTTGATTTATATACCCAAAAGGAGCCCTGGGGTAGGATTCTAGCTGTGAAAATCCTTGTCTAGATAGCTACCAGCTGGGAATTCCAAAGCCTGGAAACATATCTAGGCACAGAATTCAGCTTGCAGGGAGACACCCAAGAAATTTCTAAAACCACAGGCTATCTAAATCGCTCAATATGTTATATTCAAACATATATCACTTAACTTTCAAGCCAAACTTCTTTTATGACACTAATGTCTTTTTCTCTCCTTGACAAATAATCCTATGGCTGGATTGAAATGTTAAATATATACCATGTGGTCTCTTTGAAGTTAGAAGGATCTGTACTGTTGACCTCCATAGACAAAAACTTTGAGTCACTAACACTGGAAATTACAGAATAATTTAGGCTGGGGGGAAGTCTGGAGGTCATCTGGTCCACCCTCCTGCTAAAAGCATGACAGGATCAGAGAACTGACCCATCAGGTGACCATGAAAACAACAGTCTTCACGTTGGTTGGCAGAAATCCTTTGCTAGGCCGAAATGAAAGTGTTTTGATACTCATCCATGCTGTTCCTCAGAGCTCCCTATGTCAAAACTGGTAGATTTACAAGAAAAATTGTGTTTTTAACTCATGGCCTTACAATCACATCTTTGCTTCTTAAGGCAAGCTGGGCTCTCCTTCTTCATCTTTGCCAATAACAACAGGCCTGCAGGCGCTGGCTCTGGCATTAGGGATCATTATAGTCCCATTTAAATCAATGGAAAGTCTTCCACTGATTTCAGTGGGAGCTGGATCAGACTCCTATAGTTCAGAAACTCCCAGAGGCTTTGAGTTATATCTCACCCATGCATCCTTTTCCTTGGGATTTACAGGCTTTTCAGTCAGAGTTTAGTCCTAAATCCAAGTGATGCAGAGGACAATGCCAAGGGCATTCTCCTACTTGGCAACCTGCTGTCAGTATCTACATTCAAGCCAGTGACTCTCGACAGCTGCTGAGACACAGAGTTTTGGCAATCAGGGAGCAGAAGAGGCCATGCTGCCTTAGTTACAGGACTTATGAGCATTTCCCCCATTACCTACAGAGAAAACCAGCTCATGATCACTGTCTGTCACTGGTGTCTCGACTGGAGACACTCCATTATACCTGAGAGCTAAAGTGTTCTGATTTTGGCTCCAGCTCCTGAACTCTCTCGGCTGTGCTGGCTTTGTGGTGACAAAGGGAAGAAAAAGCAGTATGATTTATTTTTGTCATAAAACTGGTGGATCTGAAGCAAGATTCACAAGGCAAGATGAGGAAGAAACAAATGCCCTTTTAAAAAAGAAAAAAAAATTATCGGGGTAGATAATTGCACAGTCAAGGGGTAAAGGAGAAAATGGCCAAGCAAAGGTGGTGTGTCTCAAACACACTCTTAGTTGGATGTGGCCACCAGCTCTGAGGTCTGGGGAGAGGAGGCAGCAGCTGTGAGTTTGGTACAGGGACCCCAGGGGACCACTGGGTAAGAATTCAACTAACCAATCATTCTGTTTTTCCCACTCATTCTTTTCATTTCCTTGTGACCAGATCAGTTTTTATTCTTCTCTCATTTTATGGTCCTGTATAATTGTTTCCTTTTACCAGCAAAAGCAATATAAATAAGGGCAAAAGAAAGGAGAAATATAAGGGAATGGGGTTGCAAACTGTGCTGTTATTCAGTTCCCCTCTCCTGTGCAGCACCCTAGCACTGAAATGATGTAGTGTCTGAAACTGCAGCCTCCTTTCCAAGCTCCTCTTCCATATGGGAGCAGAAAATTCATTTTATTTCACCCTGATGACTGAGAGGGGACCTCATCAATGTCCATCAGCATCTGAAGGGAGGGTGCCAGGCTCTGCTTTGTACCCAGCAGTAGGACAAGAGACAATGGGAAGAAACTGAAGCATGGGAAGGTCAACCTTAATATGAGGAAGAACTTTACTTTGTGGGTGACTGTGCACTGGAACAGGTTGCCCAGAGAGGTTGTGGAGTGTCCCTCACTGGAGATATTCAAGAATCTTGTGGACATAATCCTGTGCAACGTGCTTTGGGACGACCCCGCTTGAGCAGGGAGGTTGAACCAGATGACGCATTGTGTTCCCTTCCAATCTTACCCATCCTGTGCTTCTGTGATTATTTCCCATGGAGGGAGAAAAGAAAACACCTTCAACAGGATTTCAGCAGGAACTGTTTTAAATCAGGGCTGATTTAGTCCCCCATTCATTCTCATCAGAACTGGGCGAGCCTAAATCAGCACGGCATCACAGAGGGCCAGGGAGCCCAACAGGCATCAATAGCTGTGTAATTAATACCATGAGGCAGACTGCTGGTACAAATGGGGAAAAAAAAAAGTGAAAACTCACCTGGCAGGACTGTGAGAAAAGCGCTGCGAAAGCTGTAGCCCATGGTGTTTGCCCCCAGGCAAATGTACATCCCTGCATCCTCCTCCTTGGCTCGAGTAATCATCAGTTTGTTCAGGTAGGAACCATCTGGGCGGGACCAGACCTCCCCCGTGGGCAGCACAACGAACTTCTGCCCCCCGACATCGATGGTGGAGTTGTACTTGCTCTCTGTGCCATATTCCACCCTTTTCAGCCACTGGATGACGGGTTTGACGTCGCTGCGGACTTTGCACTGGAAGGATGTGGTGCCACCGTAGTCCACCGTCGTGTTGACAGGGTGTGTCCCTGTCAGGATGGGCTTGGACCTCGTCCTCTCTGCACAGAAACACATGGGAAAAGGTGTCTGCCAATCTCAGTAACTTGCAATTGCACAAACATAGGGAAGAAGTGAAGAAGGGATGCAAAATGATAGTCTAGTCTGACTCCCTGCCCCAAGGCAGGCTGAGATTTCTGCAAACCTCTCCTAATACAATTTTGCCCAGTCTCTGCCAAAGCCTCCAATGGTAGATGCCCTTTAGTCTCTCCAGAAAACTCCTCCATCATCTGAGGCTCAGCAAGTCTGTTCTCATGCTCAACCTAAATCTTACTGTTTCTAACAAGGAAGTTACTTTTCTACCTGCATCAGACCTGGAGAAAAGTATGCTCTTCCTCTGTGCCCTTTTTCTTCAGAAGATTTTTTCATCCCTCTCTTCCGTACGCTGAACAACTCCCCTATGTGTGATTCTGTGATGCTGTGTCTTACCACCATGTCCAGCAGGGTGCAATTTACAGGTGAATAAGACAGAACCTTATGTCTTCTCAGACACAACCTCAAGTTTTTACCAGATTATTTATGAGTACTTATCTATTAAGACACCACACTGTAACCACTGTGGCTACCCCCCAGTTCAGAGACAGTGAGGGCTGGGGTATTTCTTTCTTCAGTCTAATCATTGCCACGCTCACCATGGAGAAAATTTTTGTGGAGGAAAAGCACAGAAGACGTTTGATTTTCTAGCCAATAACAAAATCTTTCCTTTCTCACAACGTTGTTTTGATTCAAGTCTCAGGTGAGGAAGGAAACAAGATGGTAGGAAAGAAAATCAAACAGAAGAGGTTCACAAGACCATCCTTTCCAGCATGACCGTAAGCCTTAGGTTGTGTCAACACCACATAAAGTAAAAAGAAAAATATATGCCTCATTCTGAGGAATGTTTGGATTTTTTTTTAGTGTTAGAATCAGATAAATCAGTCACAGTTTCCAGGCAAGGAGGTACTGCAAGCCTCTATCCTAGGCACAGAGAGAAATTATGGTATCACAGTGGGTGGTAACTGCTGGCAATCATCAACTCCTTTTGATGGCAAACACTGTTGGATTGAGCATGTAACAAAACAGCTCCCACCAGCACTGGCTTTGGGGTGAGGGGAAGGAACAATGGAGCCTCTTTCAAAAACTCAGGATACGTTCAATAATGAGGGCTCTAAAGATGTGCTTGGGAAACAAAAATACCACAGTGGTCTCCATAGGCCTTGCCTTGGGACTACAAGCAGTAATCACAGCTGGGGAGACTGAGACTCAGATAAGCAGGACTTAGGAGTGGAGGCTCAGGGGGAAAAAAAAAGAAGGAAATTGAATAAAACCTGTAATGCTTCACAGAATGATGTTAAAAATAGAAAGATGTCTGAAAACTGCTTAATGCCCTTATCTCCTTGACTCTGGTTCCAGCTTTGGTTACTGTTTTCACTCCTGGCCAGCAAAAGCTAATGAAAACAAAGGTTACATACATCTTTAAGTTGATAAAAACCAAGATAAACAGGGACACAGAAAGGGGTTTGTTCCTGGTGCTGTCTGGTTTTGATGAAGTGAAAATGCCACAGCTGCCATTAGGATGGGGCTTGATTCATTTCCCTGCCTCTGCTCCTGGTTTTAGTGTAAACACATGTTTTTACTGTCTCCACACAGCTGCATCTTTATCAATCCCAGATGTCCAGCAGGTTTGTGCCTTCAGAGCCCAACAGAGCTTCCCACATGTGCTTTTAATTCCTGTGATTCTGGGGAAAGGACTTATCAGAGAACAGATCTTTACCTTTAAGAACAATCTTTCACACTGGGATAAACTTTCTCATGCTAAAATGTATGCACAGACAAACAACATGTTTTCAAAGTGGCTGGAAATAGCCTCCCATGCCCCTGCTCCTCTTTAATGAAGGCTATTCAATCTTCCCTCCACTCAGCTCATCTCCTCTTTCTTGAGTTGGCTGCTCTGTAATCATTTCCATGACAACTTATGATGATGTCATAGACAAAGCACAATGATTTAAGAATAAGAGCTCTTCTCTGTTAAACTTAGGTAGGATTTGAGTATAATTATCTTCAGTAATAATAGGGGAAACAGATTAGAGAGCAAGCATCAGAATAGGTAAATAGTAAGAAGAGCAATTTACCTCACCACAATGCAGGGTAATCCCCCACAGCTCATCTTCTAAGGATTGAATCTTTAAAACTATGTGGGCATCTAAAGATACAGACAGGACCCTAGTGGGAATTTTTCAGGGGTTGTTTAAGTATCTCATTTATACCCACCTGGAGCTTCAGATGGCCAAATGTTTTTTAGAATCTGGCCCTAAAGCCTTGTCTGGCTAATCTAGACATAAGATTTCTGCTAATTCCCTTTGGAGACTTCTAGATTAAATTTTCAATTGATTGGTTTCACCCATTCTGACAGAGTAATCTGGGCTATCCTAAATATTTTCACCCCTCCTCTATGGCACTTGAAAGGCTTTCTCAGTTAGTTCTCAGTCTGCCCTTGAATTGACCCTCTCGGTAGAATAAGATTGAACTGGGCAATGGTAAAGTTTTATCATACAGGTGCCCTTAGAGATGACTATTTCCCAACTACCCATCTTCATTTCATCTACTAAATTATGTTGTTGCTCCTCTGTCTTTCCCAGGTGTCAGGTTAATTTTAGAGTTTCAGCAATGTTTTCTTTGCTGATGTTTTTAGCACTTCCCCATTTCTATGTCCAGCTACCAGTACTGCACACTTGCCACCACGCTCTTTTCACCCAGCCAGCCTCCTCCTCAAAGCTTCCTCCCCGCCTTTCCACCCCAGAGGCTGCACTTACGGATCACTTCAACTTTGTACGTTGCATTGATTTCTCCAACTTTGTTAAACACCCGGCAGGTGTATTTCCCACTGTCCTCTGGCTTCAGGTTCTTCAGGTTCAACGTCCACTTCTTCTTCTTGTTCTCCCCAATCTCTTGGGGAGTGAGGGGCTTATTGTCCTTCAGCCACGTGATGTCAGGCCTTGGGTTCCCGCTGGCCACGCACTTGAGGCGGATGGAGCTGCCGACAGGACGGGCGATCACCCTCCGTCTCATCTTGGCAGGCTGTGTGAACCTGGGCCGGGCTGCAAGAGGCATGAAAAATTGACCGTGGTGAGCAAAGGACATGTAGAAAAGGATAATGTTGTCAAGTGTTGTGGCCAAATTTGCTTGAGAGGTACCTGGCGGCCCCACACACACCAGTGTACCACTCTCCCTCATATCAGCTCAAACCGATTTCCTTGGAAAGGAGACACTACCCAACCCGATGCACCGGAAAGTCTACTGGACTGCTATGGCCACTGCATCAGCCTTCTGCCTAGTACAACCCCAGAATTTCTGTGTCTCTAAGGCAACTGCACCAGATCACCTCACAGAATGAGACCAAAATCACACTATTGCAGCTGAAGGCAAAACGCGGCCCCATAATCACATTGTAATTGTTACCATATTCCACGCCACAAAGGCAAGTCCTTAGCCAAGACCAAAGGAAAAAGCTCAGATTCCTGACCATTTTCTCAATTTTTTTGCTTGTCACGTGAAGCTTCATTCTCCAAAGATGCTTTGCCCCTTAGTTCTCACTGGCTTTAATGGGACTTAAGAAGAGTCAACAACTTTTCAATACATAGGAAAGTCTTAGAAGTGTGTCAGACTTCTGTACATTGATCTGAACTTAAAAGTGTGCAGTTTATTCAACTTCAGTTTACACAGTATTTGTGTTGAAAGGCCCAAAGAAGCAAACAAAGAAATGGAAAGACATAGTAAAAACCCCTTGAGCTTGTTATTAGAAGGTATTCAATACCAGTCCATCCCAAAAATAGAGAATCTGAATCAAGAGCTGCTGGTGGACAGAATCATGGGTTAAGCTACTCATCTTAGCAAAGAAATCACCTCTATTTTTAACAGCAGTGACAAGAACACTAGAGAAATGCAAGGTCCCTACCTGCAAAATCTGAACAGTAATGAAAAATTCAAAAGAAATTACAAATTTCTCACATTTACTTTAACTACACAATGCCAGTCCAGGCACGCTTCTAGGCAGGCTTCTGCTGAGATTTTTTTCCTTTTTTTTTTTTTTTTTTTTTTTTTTTTTTTAAAAAAATTTATTTATTTTTTGTTTTATTTTGGCAAAACCAGTTTCTCCTCCAAGACCATTCAGAATTTCCACAACAGGTTTTTACCCCTACTTTTGAACACTACTCCTTGATTACTGTGGTATTACTCCTCAGCCCCAAAGGACAGTCGCCCTGGATTTTTGCATGTTCCTGGTAAATATTCCCTGACTGTTTTCTTGGGAAATACAAGAAATAGGTAATGAGTAGCCAGCTTTGTGGCATACGGGGTTGAATTATGCCCATCGTAAAATCATTAAAGTTGGAAAAGACCTCTAAGATCATTGAGTCCAACCATTAATCTAACACTGCCAGCTCCACCACTAAACCATGTCCTCAGGCAGCTTTTTGAACACTTCCAGGGATGGTGATTCCACCACTTCCTTGGGCAGCCACTGGCCTTCACCAAGAGCAACTGCAAAGCCACAGCCTCAGTAGCATGAAACACATCAAAATAAGCTGAGAAAGTTGTGCTTCAGGTATGAGGGAAGTCAGCTACAGGATGGTGGGACTCTCTAACAGCCAGCCAGCCCTGCTGCCCAGGGCTGAGGGCCAAGAGCTCTGGGATGTGCACTGTAGTGGAGCTTTCCTGAAAGGAGGATGCTGGTCTTCAGCTTCTTGTCTCCAAGCACTGTGGAATGGCAGCCATTGCCCTCTGAGGTTTGTGAACATATCCCTCAGTCCTCACCCCCCTGCAGCCTTGGACAACATCCCTCCCTCTTGGAAGAGGACACCCTTTGGCATACCCCTCTCTGCAGGGTCCTTTTCCACAGGGGAAACCATCTGTCTCCACAGCCTTCCCTCGCCCCCCTTGGCTGTCATTTTGGGTCCCAGCCACTTCATGTTATTCCAAACTCTTGCTCAGAAATGCTTTACTCTCCATACAGAGTCTTTCATGTGTAATCCAATGAACCGGAGTAACTCCGGCACTGAAAGTCTTTGCCGTGACAGCTGAGCAACAAGTGTGACATACTAACCCACTCCACAGGTCGTGGTGCCTAAATTGCTGGGTGTTCCCTTTGGGGTCTGCTGCAGGAGGCCCCCTCCCAGAAAAAAAACAATCACCCTCCCTGACAATGAACCCTGCCAGAGCTGCAGGCTGTGGGCAACGACATTCCGAAGTCTGAGTCTGAGCCGAGGGAGAGGTGTTGATAAGGGCTGTCACTGGGGAAATTGAGTAAATGTCTGCAAGGTGCATGGAGAGGTCAGGAATCAGCTGTGAAATGGGTGCATTTGCACTTATCCTCTGATATGGCAGTAATTTACTCCAAGACCAGCAACTCCAGGTAGGGGAAGGTGGGATTCCTGGGCTGGGGCTAACGCATCAAAGAGCAGGCTGGAGCCAGGACAGTCACGCTTCCCCAGCAGACTGAAGAGCCAAGGGAGTGACTGAGCTCTCAGAAGGACTTGGTGGCATCCCTACTCAGTAAGGGCACTGTAAGACAGAAACTCTCTTTCCACCCAAAAAAAGCAGGGCTTTAACATTTCTGATTTTCCTCTCACTGTGACTCCTGTGAATCTTTCTGGAGTTTTGCATTCACTCCTTGTACAACATTGGTTGCACAAATACACAACAAACTACAGGTAAAGCTACACTTCTTAGGCTCTTTCTGCCTTTTTTTTTCCTTCTTCTGTTTAGGAAAGGTTAAGTGATTATGTGGTCTCAAAAGCTACTCCAGGCTGCGTGCAATATGCTGAAACCAGATCCCATTTACACAATTCTAAATGTTTCCTTGACAAAAGCCTGAATTGGACAAGTTTAGAAAAGCCAGTTAACAAAAAAGGAGAAAGAGACACATACATAAGAGAGAAAAAGAGACCTAGCAAGCACAAAGGAGAAAGAGGAGAAGCAGCAGTGTGAGAGGCAGGCAGAAAAAAAATCTCTTTTGAGTTGGTGCTAGTAAATGTCTGTCCCCAAATCTGTACCATTTACAGACATTTTGCTTGTTGGAGTGCCAGCAAAGGCCATTACAAAGTGTCTCTGTGTTATTTATACTTCACATGCTTGTTCTCCTCCCCATCATTTGGCATTTGCTTCATAAACATGAACCACACATTTGTACAGTGTAAATTATGTCATATTCAAGAGCAAGGGAAAACACAAGTGGATGGGGACAAAGAGACAGTGTTGTGTATGGGTTCCTAGCTGAAATGCTGTTTACCACGAAGACTTATTGAAGTTAATGAAAGTTAAATGAAATGGAAGCCTGTCAGCACAAGGACCTGTGATGGAATTCTGTGGTCTCCTCTCCCTGTGGGGCATGGATCAGTCCCAGAGGCTCCTGTCAGGTTTGCTCAAACAAAATGAGGTGATTATCTGAAACGTTGTCTGCTGTGATCCACCACAATTATTTCCATGTAGTGACAGTTCCAGCTGTATGTGATCCACCACAATTACTTCCATGTAGTGACACTTCCAGCTTTAATGATACTTACAAAAAAAGTGTCATGATGCAACCAGGTATTGAAATACTTTCAAGTATTTTTGATAAGAGCTCAGTCAGTTGTGGGAAGACGTGGATGGGGGTATCTGTCTTTCCCCACATCAGTTCCCTGCTCTTGATGGGGACAGAACCTCTCCCCAGTGATACCATGGTGATACATGGAAAGCAAAGTGGAGCTTTTTTCATCGTGGTTCTCCTCTCACACTTCTCCAGGGCCCAGGACTGTGACAACACAAACTGCTTCTTCACCCATCACCCTCCAAAGACATGCAGACACAAACTGACCTTCCCTTCACACCAGCTCCCACCAGCAATTTGCTGGTGAACACTGCTGGATGGAAAGGGCTTTGGTGGGTGTGTGCCTGCCCCAGGCATTTCTCTTCTTGGGGAGAGGAGAAAGGAGAGAGGGAAAGGGGAAAAAGGAGAGGTTCAGGAACACTCTGCAGCACAAAGAAGGTCTGGGTCAGGGCAGTACAGAGTGACACTATGATATGAGATTGTCAATGCATAATCCTTCTAGTAGGGCTTACATCTTTTTCATAATATTATTGTTGTATCAATCTATCACCCTGCAGCTCTACCAGGAGCACATCTGTCTGCCCTGTCTGCTCCTGTCTCCACCATGATAATGAAGAGTGGAGAGATGGCAGCTTTTCTTAGTAGCTGCTGAATCTCTCCTTGAAGCCTTCCTGACCTGTAGTTTATCTACAACTCTCCTTCTCTAACTCTAGAATGTTGTCATCCCTTTCCAGAGTGGGTGAAGGTTACCTTTCCAGAGTGGGTGAAGGTTACCTTTCCCTGAGAAAGCTCAGTCTCAGACAAATCTCTGATTTAGATGTAGCCTGGACTACACCACAGCACTTGTTTGCCAGTTCCTGAAGAAAACTGGCCTCAGCTTAAGTGGTGGGTACTCATATGGCAAAAGCTTGTCAGGTTCCACCCCCACCACTGCTATGAGGTTTCTCTTGGCCACAAATGTGGTAAAACGCCATCTCTATATTAAAGGGAAGGATGTACTGTATGAGCAAAATAGAAATGCTGTGCTTCATCCATGGAGCTCATAAACTCACATCACACTCCTGTCAGTAATGGTCAAAAGCTGTTTGGCATCAGCCTGACAACTTATTGTCCTTGAAGGAGTGCTTGGACCAAACTTTGGACCTGCAAGTCTTGCGGTGATTCTTTCCAAGTCAGATTTTAGCAGTTCCCCAAAGCTCTGCAATAGCAACAAAATCTTATGTCTGAACAGTCCAAGGCTTAGAAAAGTTCAGGCAGGTGTGTAAAAGAGAGGGGGATTTTAAAAAATACTCAGCTTGGCCTAGTGCTAATTCTCCTGAAGTGAAGTCAGACCTCCCATTTGCCCTCAGTGAGAGCAGTGTTATGTTGGCACTGAGGACTTTTGGAAATATTGCTGTAAAAGTCAATATGCTTTTTATAGGGAGTCTATGAAAGCTATAATAGCTGCACATGCAAAAGAAAGTCCCTGCCCAGAAAAACAAATACAAGGGAGAACCATGCTGGGCTATATGGCAGGGGGCCCTAGGGCCGACCACAGGCTGCATTTCGCAGGACCCTTGGATGCAATCCATCCACACCAGCATGTTCAGCTGACACTCTGTTTATTATTTGACCATATGCAGAGAGAACTCCCTCCAGTTGCTCTGCCTTTCCTCTCCTTCAGCAACTGAGAAATGTGCCACGTGAGCAGCAAGAAACCAAGAACTGAGGAAAACCAAAAAATGTACACTGCTCCTTACCCCACTGCTTCCCAGAGTGATCTTCATATTCTCCGTTGGAGCCTTCGGGTACCTGGCTATCCTTTCCTGAGCTGGCATCATCTGCAAAGGAAAGGAAAGAGAAGATGTTAAGAAGATCTCCTGCAGTACAACAGTACAAGAGTTTGCATTCCCTCCTGGAGGCACCATGCAGCTGAAACACACTCAACACACATTAGGCGTGCATAGCCTGGCCAGTTTAATGAACAGTTTAGTTTAGTGTTTTATGAGCTTTTCAGCAGGCTACCAAAGCAATGGGAGATTGATCAATGTTTGCATTAATATCTCGCAAAAGCCTCTTTGTTTATTTTTACAGGTTGTTGTTCCCCAGGAGTAGATCTGTTGTACCTTCTACACAAATAGTGGTATCAATCAAAATTACATATAATTAAACCTAGGAGGTGGGGGAAGACCTGTGTGATCAGTCATACAGAGCACAAGCAGTGGAATTACAGCCACTAATTCACCTTTCAGCTTCCACGCAAAATCAGAAAAGCAAGCAGATCTGGGGTTAAATTAGTTCACAAGTGATGCTGAATGAAAAGTTATGGCTGGCAAAAACAATACTGAATTGAAAAGCTGTTTATGGGTATTTTTTTTTTCTAATTGAGACCATCCCATCCACCTGCATCAACACACCACTTTGTCCCTTATCACTCTAGTTGTCTATACCACTACCACACAGCAGCACTGAAATTTCAACTTTGTGCCCTGTCCTGCTAGGAGAAATAGAAATCACCACAAGGTAAAACCCCCGTGCTTCCAGCTGTCTCCACCTCAAATTGCCACTGTGATACGGCCACCTGCAAGGTCTCCCCGAGGGCCAAGGGAGAAGGAGAGTACCCTGAACTTCCTTCTGCAACCTGGGTGATGCTGGTGGCCTCACATCTCTGCAGTGCTCAGATGTGAAGTTTTTTTTCCTCCTCCACTAACAGCCCAACCTCCCCTGCACAAGTGCTCAGCTCCAAGCAACCTCTTGCAGCAATGCATCACACCAGGAGGGAGGTCCACCTGAGGGACTTTGGGCACCTACACATGATGGTGCAGCAAAATATGGCTCTTCTAAGGTTACTTCTGCGCTCTACAGGTGGCACTGCTCCACACAGCAGCTGGAGGTGATGATCTTGATCTAGAGCTCCTCAGTGAAGTGCACTGAAGTGGGTGAAACTTTATTTTCAGAGATAGGTCAGGGGAAGGCTGGGAAAAAGTTCACCTCAATGAGGAACGCAATGGTGTAAAAAAAAAAAAAAAAAAAAAAAGAGAAGCGAAAATGTGATCTAAGGAATGAATCCCTCTAAATGCCTAACTCCTAAAACCTAATAGAAAAAGGTCTCATGATTGAAAAAGAAGAAAATTCTTTCTGTAATCTCTTTGATGGAGAGGACAAACGTTATTTGAGCTTATAGATGAGCATGCCCCCCAAAAAAGGTACAAAGAGTAAAGCTGCTCCTTACACTTGTTTTAGAAGTTGGGCTGCGCTTAAGCAGTGTTTAGTGTGTAAACTTGTGTGCAGTCTTTGTGCAAGAAGAATGTGGGTTTAACCCCATCCTCACCCCAGGTTCTGCTATTTTGGAAACTCATCCCATCTCTTCAGCAAGGGGCATTATATGCCAACAGATGCTCTGCTCTCTTTTGCCTCTGTCCCTTGAGCAGAGAGCCTGCAATTCCATATGGGTTTGTCCCCCCTCGACCCTGACAGATTTTTCTCTCGTCCTTTTGGTTATTTTGGTGCACTTTCCTCTGGGGGTATGTTCAGCTGTCAGTCTGAGGAGAAAAGAAAACTTTTGGGGCAGCAGCATGCTGTGCTCGTACTTCAGCAGCTCCCTGAAGCAGCTCCATCATATATGATGGCTTGCATATGACAGATTGTCTCCCTTCAGTCAAAATACCAAATCAGTTTTCTCCTGACACTTGTATAATTTTTCCCATAAATAGCAGTAGTGCTATGAATGAAATTGTGGATGCTCTCTGACAGATAACTTAGTAAATCCCTCTGCACAATTAGAAAAATGTACTGGGTAATGGAGAATAAAGAAAATCTGTGGAGAGATGTAGGACTCTTGTCCATTGGTAACTGCTGAATATCTTAAAAGTGGTTAAGGCATTTAAGTGGCAATGTTCTGTCAATTGTATCCTAATCCTGCTCGGCTTGGTGTACAAAGAGCAGCCTATCTCCCTTGCCTGCAGCCTCATGTTACAGTATGTCAGCCCATGTGCACTCCTCCTGCTGACACACACGGACTGACTGGCAGTCTCCACACCTCTTGACATGCTGCCAAGCTTTTGATGTAAGAAAAATTGCCCTGAATCTGTTTGATCCTTTGAAGATGCTTCTTCAGTTTTTAGCCTACCAAATCGCAAACCTGTGGAGTAATCTACCAAACCCAGAAAAAGGAATTTTGGGGGGAAAGAGACCAGGATAATTAATGCCACCGTGCTGAGCCAATGGAATGGTTAATTTGATGGAGGAGCAACACTGAAATAAATAACTGCATGCATTTAGGCACATTGGTTTAGGTACACTGGAACTTGTTTCGTGTGTGTCAGGAATGTGGAAACATTAACAACAATAACAGAAGTCCTAAGGCAGGGGAACATGTCATAAACATGGAAACTCATGTAGAGCAAGAGTTCCTGCTCCTTCCCATCCCCAGAGCCGCACACGGGGTGAGGGATGTTACAGCAGTCTCTATCTTCAGCATGACTGTATCTGAACAAACTCACACTTGAGAACTGTACCAAAAAGAGTTGATTCATGAGATCCAGAGAAATTGGGTGAAACTCGTTTTGGGAGGGTTCCCTGAAGCACGTGAATCTCTAGTTGAATCTAAAAGTGTGAGTGAGGCAGCAGAGCAGCCAGTGATATAATGATGAAATGTTAACCTGTGATGTGAGTGACCCAGGGTCAGGTCCCTCTTCTGCTGAATTCAGAGAGGGATTTGAATCTCCATTCTTGCACCTTGGGTGAGTGTCTTAAGCTCTGACCTGTGGACTCAGAGAGCCAAAAAAGAGCTTCTTATGACATAAAGTAGAACAGCACTTTGGGAGAAAGAAATTTCATGAACACCCTGAGGATGGGAGACCCCTGGCTAATTCAGGTATCACCAATATTTGACTTTCACCAGTCTCATCAAAAGTCAGTACTGTGGCTGCATGGAAAGAATATGTCTCTCCCTGTTTTTAAGAACTTTCTTATTTTTCCACTTTTAATACTGAGTGGTTTCCTAGGGTAGAGAAACACTTTTACAGTTGTTCTAGTCCTTATGCTGGGAAGGGTTTATCTTTCTGTACCACAAATACCCTTTTTTCTCTTCTGTGGAGGGATCTGTGACACTGACAGCAAAGCCAAGTATCCTGCAAGTTCAGAGGCATCTGGTGCAGCCCAAACCTTTGGTCTGAAGCCTGGTTAATAGTGTCAGATCTGCAGACCTGCTGTTTGCATTTCACCCTGAGCTTCACAAATGCAATTGGCCTGGCAGTATCATTATTAGACAGAGAGAGGACCTGAAAAAACAAGTCACATTCACATATGTATGACCGGCATACAAAAGGATGAGATAGAGGCAGAAATCACATGAGTCTTAGCTATATTCAAAAATGACCTAATATGCCACTTAGTTTTTTGTGATCTTGTGACCTCCCCCCAGAGATGGGCAGGTGGGGGTGATAAGTACATACAAAAAAATCAGCCTACAGTCTAAGGGGGGGAGGGACCAGCTATGCAGCACTGCCAGCTTTGCTGCCAGCACATTACTGTGAGAGGCAGTGCTAAGAAGGATGAACTACTGAAGTTTCCTATGAGCTCCCTTTTCTGTGACCTATATTGGAAGGTCATCCTGTACTGGACTTCTTGGACAGTATCACAGGCTTAGGACAGAAGCCAGTTGGAAGACTAAGTGGAAAACCTGCCTTGAAAAGCAATCACTGACTAATTTTATGTCACGAGTATCTTGATGCTAAGAAAACATTCACATGATTTAGGTGTCCTCACTGTACAGTTTGGCTCCATGGTGTTACAAAGCATGCTGGTTGGTCAAGAAACCTGAAGGGTAAAGCTCCAGTATCATGTCAGGTGATGTACTTGGAGATATGGGAGAAACTCGTGCAACCCCTTCCCCCTCAAATACAGCACGTGGCAATACAAGACAGAGCCAGGAGGGACACAGAGGCATCAGCCCATTGTTCAGGAGTGTCACCCCACTGGCATCATCCCCAGACACTGCCTCTCTCTTGCTTCAGGATCTCAAGCTGGCTTTTAGGTCTGAGGTGCCACAGGACTGAGATGCTGGTGGTGTTGGGGATGTGTGTGGTGGAGCTGACAGGGGCAGTCACAGGCTTGTGTGAGACTGGACATGTCTAAGTGTATGAGGCCATGATTATCAGTGCTGGTGTCATGGGACAAATTGCCCTTTCTCACCCCAGAAACTACAATACTCTATGCATATTGCCTGCCATGTGTCTTTTTGGTCTTATCCCCTGTCCCAAAGCAGGCTGGATTTCTGCAGAGAAGGGATTTCTGTATGTAACTGCATCAACTGGCAAAGCCCACTGAGGATCCTATGGGACAAGAGTGCCACATCAGTGGGGTATAGTTACTGTTTATTACCATAGCAGAATTGTTCCATTCCCTCTTGAAAGTTAAAACAAATGGAAAATTCTGCATAACGGTCCAGCTCTGAGAGAAACTGATGGGAAATATTCAGACTGTTAAACTGAGTCAGGATCGAATTTTATTTACCCACAGACTCTTTATGAAGGCTTTGTGTTTTAACCATGACTGGTTTTCAGGCCAATACCATGTGTTGAGTCCAACCACGAGTCAAGAAAATGGTCCAGTTTTTGAAGCAAAAATCTAGCCATCATAATTCTCTATGATTCACAAAGTTGCTTTAATTTGTTATAATGCAAGGCCCGTCCCTGCTCTGACTTGATGGGACCAGCTTTGGAGTCTTTGATGTCAGAGGCCTTGAAAGCCCCATTTCACAGATGAGCCAGCTTTGCATAAATAAACAAAGTGACCTCTGAACTGGAGCCTGAGACCTGAGCACACTTCAAAGCACTGG